AGCATTTTGTAGTTTTCAGCATTCAGAGCCTGTATATATTTAAGTATTTCATTTTTGGAGATATTATAAATACAATTATTAACAATTTTTTTTGTTTTCAATTATTCATTGCTAGCATATAGAAATTCAGCTGAGTTTTCCATGTTGACCTTGTATTACATATAGGACTTTTGGGGGTGGTATGTGGATTCCTTGGAATTTTCTATGTAGAAATTATCTTGTTTGCAAATAGGGACCATTTTATTTCTCCCTTTCTAATCTTTTACCTTTTATTTAATTTTCATGGCTATTGCACTGGCTAGGACTTCCAGTATGCTGTTAAGTAGGAGTGATGAAAGTACACATCCTTGCCTTTTTCTGAATTTTATGGGGAAGTTATTCAGTCTTACACCACTAAGTAAGATGTTTGCTATAGGCTTTTTGTAGGTGCCATTTATCAGATTAGGAAGTTTGCTTCTATTCCTAATTTGCTGAGAATTTTGAATAGGAATAGATGTTGAATTCTATAAAACACTTTCTGCCTCAATTGATATGATCACTTTGATTTTCTTCTTTAGACTATTACTATGGCATATTACATTGATTTTCAAATATTGAAGCAGTCTTGCATTCCCAGGATAAACTCCACTTGGTTGTGGTGTATTATTCTTTTTATATTTTGCTGAATTTAATTTGCTAACATTTTGTTGAGGATTTTTGTGTCTATGTTCATGAGGGATATTGACTTATAGTTTTCTTTTTTTGTTTTCTTTGTCTGATTTTGGTATCAGGTTAATATTGTCTCATAAAATGAGTTAGGAAGTGCCCTTCTAGCTCATAGAAAAGACTGAGTACAATTAATGTTATTTCTTTTTTAAGATTTTGGTAGAAATCACTATTGATACCATCTTGACCTGGAAATTTTTTTTTGAAGGTTTTTAAAAATTTTTATTTATTTATTTTTTATTTAAACATTCAATGTAAAAAAATTGTTATAGGACTATTCAGGCTTTTTGTTTCATCCTAGCTGAGTTTTAGTTTTTGAAAAATTTGTCCATTTCCATTTTATCTAAATTGGTGAATTTATATGAGTTAGAGTTTTTTGTAGTATTCCCTTATTATGCTTTTAACGTTATTTTTTTCATTCTTGTGTCTTTTCTCATTCTTTGTCAGTCTTGTTAGAGGTTTATCAATTTTATTGATCTTCAAAAAGAACCAACTTCTTAAAAATTATTTTTCTCTATTCATTCTCTTTGTATTTTTCTGTTTCAATTTTATTAATTTTTGCTATTGTCTGTAGTATTTTCTTCCTTCTACTTGCTTTGTATTTATTTCACTTTTTCTAGATTTTTTAAAACTGGAAACTTAGATAATTGACTTGAGACCTTTCTCCTTTTCTAATATAAACATTTAGTGCTACAAATTTTCCTCTAGGCACTACTTTAGCTGTATCTCATACATTTAAATGTGTTGCATTTTCATTATCATTCAGTTCAAAATATTTTATAATTTCTCTTGAGATGTCCTCTTCGGCCAATGGACTATTTAGAAATGTATTGCTCAATTTCCAAATGTTTGAAGAATTTTTTTTCAGTTATCTTTCAATTATTGGTTCCTAGTCTAATTTCATTATGGTCAGAGAACATATTTTTTATGATTTCAAGTTTTAAAATTTGTTAAGGTTTTATTTTATAAACCAAAATATAGCCTATTTGCCTTTGTTGGATCAACTGTGCTAAAATGCCAATTGATGGTGTCATTCAATTCTGCTGTATCTTTACTGATTTTCTATTTGCTAATTATATTGATCACTGAGAGAAGAATGTTGAAACCTCTAACGATACCAAGGATTTGTCTATTTTTCTTTTCAGCTCTCTCAGTTTTTGTTTCATATATTTTGTTTTTGTTTTTGTTTGTTTGTTTTTTGTTTTGTTTTGTTTTGTTTTGTTTTGTTTTAAGCTGAGCCATCCTGCTACCTGTTGGCAGCTCAGCGGTTGCTCAGCTCGGGCAAGGAATTGAACCACTGTTGCTCAGAGCTCAAATTCTTGAGCGAGCTCTTAACCAACAGAGCCACTCAGCTGGCCCTGTTTCATATATTTTGAAGCTCTGTTATTAAGTGCAAACACATTTAGGATTTTCATATCTTCTTGGTAAATTGTTCTTTTATCATGATGAAATATCCTCTTTATCTCTGGTGATATTCTTTGCTCTGAAGTCTTCTTTTTCTTTATTAATTTAGCCACAAATGTTTTGCATGATATGTCTTTATCCATCCTTTTACTTTAACATACTAATATTATATGAAGTGAGTTTCTTGTTGACAGCATATAGTTGGTCATTTAAAAAAATCCATTCAGTAGATTCATAAAATTCTTTCTGACAATTTGTCTTTTAATTGGTATGTTTAGACCATTCACATTTAAATGGTTTAGATTTACCACTTTATTACTTGTGTTCTGTTTGTTTTCTCTCATTTTTTGTTTCTCAGTTTCCTCTTTCTTACCACCTTTGGGTTATTTTCATATTTTTAATATTATGTTTTAATTTATCTATTAGTGTTCTTGAAGATATCTCTTTGTATAGTTTTTATAGCAGTTGCTGTAGGGATTACAGTATACATACTCTTCACAGCCTATTTAGAATCAATATTTTACCACTCCAAGTGGAATGTAGAAACTTTATCACCATATAGACCTCTTTATTCACCCCCCTCTTTATGTTATAGTTGTGTTACATATTACATTTACATACATTAAAACCCCCATCAGAAAATTTTACATTTGCTTTGAGCCACCTAACGTATCTTCCAGATCACAAAGAAAGAATTGTCTATTAGCATTTCCAGTCAAGATGGAAGAGTAGGTAAACAATGTGCTTGCTTCCTCTCACAACCACATCAAAATTACAACTAAACTACAAAACAACCAACATTGAGAAACACCTGAAGTCTAGCAGAACAGAAGTCCTACAATTAAGTACATACAGAAGAGGCCATCTCAAGACTGGTAGAAAGGACAGAGATGCAGAATGGGCTTGTCCCACACCCACATGTGGCAGTTAAAAATCAGGAGGGATATCTCAGCTGCGAAGGTGCTCCTGGAGGAGCAAAGTATCTCAGCCCCAGAGTGACAGCAGCCTCCCCAGCCTAGGGTTCCATTGCTGGGAAGAGAAGTCCCCATAACTTCTGGCTGTGAGAGACGGTGGAGATTGTGGCTGAGTGAGACCAGGGCAGCTGCAGTCCCTGGCATTTTCTTAAAGGGCCCGCACATGGGCTTACTCACTGGTGGACTCACTTGCTCTGAGTTCCAGTGCTGGGCAGTAGCTTTAAAAGCACCAGGGATATACAAGGAGGAACTGAATTGTCTGGCTTCAGGACAAGGGATGGAGAGCAGCTTACTCTCGGACAGGATTGCTGGCAGAAGTCATTATTTCTTTGTTGAGCCCTCCCCACTCCCCGTGTGCAGACAACAGGAGGCTATCACCATCAACCTGGCTAACACCATGTGCCTTGCCCTGGTGATTCCCTGAGACCCTGCCCCACCCGACTTGCGGACCCATCCAAGTCTCTTGTAGTGGCTTTAACGTACCAATGGCCTGTCTTGACTCATGCTATGAACTTTTCTAAACCTTCCTAAAATCTGTCGATGATTCACAAAACCCAACCAAGCAACATCTGGCTTCAGTATGTCCTGTATCTCTGGCTGAGCATCTCTAAGCCAGGCATTAGCAGCAGCTGGCCTCAGTTGAGGCTTGGCCTCTACCAGGCATCTCCAAGCCCAGCACAGATGGCTGCCATCAGTGGATTACTTTGTTTCTCATGACAGGTGGCCCCAGGTGGAGCACAGGGTATGGCTCAAGTTGGCCTATAGTAGGAACCTGCCCAGGAGGCCCGAGGGCCTGCATGTCCAGTGGCCAGATTCTCCAGCCCGAGCACCACCCAGCTGCCTTTATCGGTTTTCACAGTAATGAATTATTTCCTGGTGTTCTCTAAAGGCAACCGATGATGATTATTTCTCTAGTATCCTTTGAATTTAAAACGAGTTTTTAAGTGTTTCGTGTGTTTTAATCAATTACAACTATTATTCTTATTGATGCCTAAGTTGTTCCATCTTTGATTAATGGGAGACTCTTCATGTTGGCTCCTGAATCCCTCTAACATGACTCCAATAGTCTTCAATAGCTTCCTTCCTCTCCAGTACAATATCTTGTATACTTCCTGTCTCAGTCCTGGAATCAGCTTTTCCTCCAAGGAGCTCTGATTCCTCTTAGTGAAAAATGGTATTTAGAGACCACAGTCTTGGCACTGGGGTATTCTATCATAGTCTGGCTGAAAGATTTGCAGAGCTCCCACTAGAATTCCTCATATCTTCAGGAAGAACATTTTTTCTTATTAGTGTTCTCTTGAGTTGGACATGGGTTTTTTTATCTACTGCTCTTCTTCTTTTTCAATTATAAATTGCTGTTTGTTTAGTTGCGTAATTGTCAGATTAATGACTGTAGGTTGACATGTAACAATGCATCTTTGGATCAGTGGTGTTTTGGGGCCATAATTTACAAAAGTGAGATATTCATGCATTGTGTTTCAAGTGAAATCATTCATCATTATATTTCTTAAGTAGATTAGTACACACTTTACCCTGGAATCTGTGAATACAGTGGTGCTTCTTTGTTATCATCAAGTTCTTTCTACTGAAGAATGGGGAGCGGGGGGTATGGGGAACACTGGGGTATGCTGACCCATTAAAGTGAATCACAGTCAACATCTTTTGAGAGCCACTGCTTTAACCTGAAGGAAGGAGTTGATTGAGGAGATTTTTAGCACCTTGATGCGGGCAAAATTTGGGACTGGAGGACTGGTAGTCTCTAGTGCCAGACCCACATATCATCTGCCTCTTGGCAAAAGAAGTCCTGCTCTCAGAAATCTTGCCCTGATACTTTACAAAAGCCAGTTTCAAGATTACCTTTCTATCCTCTGGGATGCAGTCAAACAGGGCTCTCCTTTCATTCACTTCTCCCTCCAGCTTCTGGACACATGGCTTAACTCCCAGAAGGACAATGAGCGGGAACGGGCCATGTGGTGTGCTGCACGTATTCTTGGCTTCATTGCAAAAATGAACAACTTCAAAGTGAGTGAGAGCCTGCCCTGTAGTCTGGGCCCTCCTGCCCCCTGGGGTCACCCTCACCTCTACATTTATCCCACACTTCATTGCATATGTTACCTAGCCTTGGGCACTCATCCTCAACCTCCTTCTCCCTGGCCCCATCCTCTGTTTTCTCTTGTGCATCCCTGTTTATTCTCTCCTTTTTCCCTTCTGACATCTTCTGCCTGATCTTTTTCTCTACCCACCAACTAAATTCCATTCCACTTAGTTCATTTTTATTCCATTCACCTAAGCAAGCAGTTACTGAATACTCACCTTATTCCAGGCACAGTGTCAGGTGCTATAGCGAATACATAGATGATCAAGACAGTTCCCTGGCTTCATGGATCTTACAGTCCACTGGGGAGAGAGACATGCATAGAACAAATTTAAATTGAAGGTGGTAAATAAACCAAGTGTAGTGAGAATAAAAGATGAAAATACAAATCATGACAGGTGAGGGAATCAGGGAAAGCTTCACAGAGGAGGAGGCATTTGAGCTAGGCTTAAAGGATGAGTAGGGTGTCAAGAGGCAAAGAAGGGGGATAGTGCAAGGTCACTCCCAAACTATGATCCCTTCTGTCCTTTATAGCTACAATTCACCCACATAATTCCATTCCCATGAGCCTCATCTAGTCTCGCCTGTCATGTCTCTGCCATATGCATCTCCTCCTCCTAGTTCTTTTTCTGTGACAACTCAGCCTAAGGGAATGGCTTAGGATAACTTGTGACTTCCTGCTTCCCTCCCCAGACAGATATTGAGTTCACCCGCCTGGGGCGCTTGGTGAGGCTGCTGGCCATACGCTGCCGGGACCCAGTGGACAACATCTGCTTCCTGTCTTCCCAGGCTGTCTACAACCTCTACTGTATCCTCCTGCAGCAAAAACGTATGGAGAACCTTCTCTTATCATCCCTCCTCCAACCTTACTTAGCCCTGGCTACTGCCACACACGCTGACCCAGAAGAGTGAGAGCCAACACGTTACCTGAGCACCTCATTTCCATTGGGGAACCTACCTGCAGACATCTACAGACACCCTTTTGAGACAAACTACCTGCACAGGAAACAATTCTTTTGAATTAGTTTCTCCCCCTCTGACTGAGCCCCATACTTTAACCCAGTTCTGTCTCTGCTCTGAGGCAGGAAACATGGGGGTTCCTTTGACCTCAGCTCTCACCGTTCCTTATCTTACTGTCCATTCCTCTACTCCCAGCCCCACAGAATAGCCATCTCCCCAAGCTGACTTAGTTCAGCGGGAGTTTTGGGCGACGCAGGTGGGAAAGAGCGGAGCCCAAGATGCCTTCTGAGTGTCTGAGAGGTGGGATTGGGTATCTTTGTTTCAGAGATGGGAAGGAAGAAGCAGGGCTTGTGGGAGGAAGAGAAGCATGAAATCTACAGTGCCAACGTGTTCTATAACAACACCTTTGAGATTGCCAAGGTGAGGGGGCCGGAGACAAAGTGGGACGTGCCTGCGCCTCTCATCTACGTGGTATTATAGACTCCTAGGGTGGGGTCATCCCATTTCCCTTCCCATTCCACTTGTAAATGTGAACTTTTTCTTTGGGGGAAATTTTCCTACTATCTGTTCCCCCTTGAGCATCATGAGTCCTGATCCCCCCAGAAGCATTTGCTTCATGTTAATGATGCTTTGTGAGCAATGTGTAGACTCGCCCCGCACTTCAAAAGAGATGCCACTAAGGATCTTGGCCCCAGCCCTTCTCTCCCAGTGCTCTGCTTCTGCAGCCACTGACCCCTGAGCCCCACATTGCATCTGATGTCAGTATTCTCTCCCTTCCATCCCCAAAGACTCAGTCCCCAGTAAAAGAGACTTCTGGGAGCTAGGCAGACAGCATAGCCTAGGACAAAAGCACATCATATTCCCAGGAGAAGCCCTGCTTCCTGCTACCCTAACTAGGAAGAATGGCACAGGCTATCTCAGGCATGGGGGCACAGCTGCGTCCAGCCTGGTGTCACCCTGTTGCAGGCATTTGCAGAGTACTTCACCCAGATCCAGCTCACCAACCTGGTGCTGACGGCCATGGAAGGCCTGACCGACAGCAGGGCCAAGGTGTCTCTGGCTGCAGCCCAGCTGATGAGCGCAGTTATGGAAGAGCGGGGCCGAGACATGATAAAGGTAGTATGGCACTGTGGGGAGAGCCCGGCCTGAGACTCAGGAGACCTGGACACTCTCCTGGGTGTCACTAGCCACCTGAAAGTCCTTGGCCAAGGCCTTAATTCACCCTTCTAAAATTTAGCCTTGCACTGCCTCTTCTCTGTGGTCCCACTGAGCTCTGACATTTATAATACTGAGCTGTCGCTGCAGTGCCTCCTATCTGGGGGGGGCTGATTCCTCCATTCACGATAGCCATGTGCTAGGGTGTAGGCAGCTGGAGGGCCCAGCAGCAGAGCACAAGGAAGCACCGTTGGGGGATCTGCCCTGATTCCCTGGAGTGTCAGGGGGCTTAGACCTCTGCAAAGGGTAAGGCTGTGGATTGCAAACAAACAAGCTCACCAAATGTCTCTGATCTTTGCATAAATTTTCTTTTAGGCTAACATGTAAAAATGGGAAGATTTTGCATTTAAAAAAATCTACATTTCCCACTTCACTGAAAAACAAAACTTTAAAATGGGGCTACATAGGGCAATTCTCTGAGTGGCCCCCTTCCCTTTCATGTGTGGCATGGGCTTTCTGGACCCTCCTATCCCTGATGACCATCGTCTCCGCTCATTTCTGGCCTAGGTGCCATAAATGGAAGGACACCTCTGAGGGTGTCCTTGAGGTATTACAATGAAATGGGCTTCCCAGAGGTTCATGTATTAGAGATCTGAGGGCCAAATGCGAGCCTTATGGTTTTTCCACATCCAATGCCAACTGTCCCTGCAGTTTTATGGGTTGGAAGTTGATCTCAGCTGGGAGGGAAAGCCTTGAAATGTCTCTAGGGCTTTTGTCTTCCTTCTGGAGCATCTTGTATCTCCTAAGTGACCTGGGAGCTTCTCTCTGGAATTTGGGGCTGTAGTGGGCCTTTGCATCAGCTTCTGGGAGTTCCTTTTGTGGCCCCTGCTGGTCTGGCCTCTGGCACCCCAGAACTCTGCCTTGAGAAGGGAGTCTCTGACAAGATTGCAACTAGGCCCCTTGAGTTTGAGGAGTTGGTAGAGAGGGAGGACAAGGGGAGGGGAGGAAGCAAAAAAGGAATGACTGAGATCCTTCTGGCTCTACCCTGTAGATTGAGGAAGTTGTGGAGGGCATCCTGGAACGGCTCAATGCACACCTGGAGCCCAGCACAAAGGAAGAGACCCTTCGGGCCATGTGCTCGCTGGCGGGCAACAACACCCACATCGTTGTACCCTTGCTGCTCAACAGGCCCCTCCCTTGGGATAGGTACCTCTCCCAGGGCCCAGGCACTCGTTCTGCAGCCCAGTAGGCCCTCTCTGCTCCAGCCCAAGCTCATGATAAAAATCACTGCATGGAGATGCTTTCTCTTCTACACCAATCAAACCTCATGTTCTCTGGCCAGGGCCTCTTTGATCTCACTCCCTCTAGACCCTGAGAACTGGCCCTTAATAGGCCCAAGACCAGACTAGCCCTAGCAACATGGTCACCAGGGCCCATGACATCGCTGTCTCTGGGCCCTGCAGAACCAGCCTGGCCCTATGGAAGTTGTTTGGCACCCGGCGGGAAACCACAATCAGTGTCCTGCAGCTGCTCATAGGCATCCTGGAAACGCTCCACTCCACAGAGATGACGGAGATGGCCTCCCAGCCAGTTGCGGTCAGCCTGAGGGGAGAGGGGGCTGAGGACTCATGTTCTGGGACTTGGGAGCTGAGCTGAAGATCAAAGGGCACCTGCAGACTGGGAGCAGGGGTTGGGGACGAGTGAAGAGGAGAGGGTTAACACAGGACTCACTAATACTGCATTCAGTTAGCACTTGACCTCCTTTTTGCACTTGTACGTCCAAGAACTGCATGATGTAGAAAGGGCAGGGAGCAACCCCATTTTATGGACAAGGAAACTGATGCTCAGAGTATATCTATCAGCTTTCTCTATCTCCTGGTTTGGGGGCTGGCACTTATTTTTTAGGGCCTGGCCTGTGGCATGGGAGGTTCAGTTGCCTGGAATTGGGGTAGACAAAGTATGCCCCAAATCATTTTTTGCTGACAATTTAGAGTTGGTCTTCTTTTTGTTTTTAATGTTAGGGAATGAAGACAGAGCAGATAGCATGTGTGTGGCCCCTCATTTCCTTCGGGATGAGCTGAGGGCTTTTAGTCTTTGGGTATTTCTTACAAGCCTGCGTCAGACTGAACTGTGCCCTTTGGGTGGTGACAGGGGAGGGACAGGGCAGGACTCTGTGTGTTGGATTGTGGGACCATTTTGTCTCTGCCCAGGCCTAGTCAATGCTGTGGTCCCCTTTCCTTGTGTCTTTCCCCAGGTAGCATGTGCCTTGTGTGAGATGCTATCTGGGTCCCTGTGCCAGGAGGCCATCCAGGAACTCTATCCACGGCTGTTGCTGGCTGTGCTGTGTCATCTCTACTGGGTGATTGAGCAAAATGCTCCCCAGAAGATGGTGGTCTACACTAAGAATGGGGGCCCAGGCAACAAGAGCAAGCCCTTTGATCCCACTAGGTAATCCTGACTTCGGAGTGATAGGGGAATGAGCATAGTCAGCTCCAGAGGACCATGGACAGCTAGACGCGGACCCCCTAGGGATGCAGAGGAAGAACAGAGAGAGAATATGGGTGTGGGTGCTGCAATAGCATGTGCTGGAACATTCTCACTTATGTTCAAGTTTCTCTTTTCTCTTTTTCTTCCGTACACTCTTCTGATTCACTCATCGGTTCATATCTATTTTCATAATTCTCTGCACATGAAAAGATTCAATTAGATGGTGACTGACTACACCTACGTCATTCTCTCCATGCAGTCATGGCCATTCATATCTGGGTGACCTCTGGCTTAGCTTTGTCACTAGCTGTGTCACCTTGTGCAAGCCACTACTTNATATATGTGTAATATGTATTATATATGTTTTATATAAATACAGTGTGTATGTGTGGTATATACTCGTATACAAGGTCTGACAATTAATTTCGTGACTTGCGACCATGTGCTTACATTGGCAGCACTGTACAAACAGCTTGGTAAGGTTTCATAACCTTGGTATATCAGTGTCTCACAGATGTGTTCATGTTGACATGTGGCAGTGTCTTGCTGAGTGGAGTTTGTTATTGTTGTTGCGTGTTTTTGTGTGCCGTCACAAGAATGAATAACCTTGAATTAAAGCAACGAACAAACATTGAATTTCTTGTTAAACTTTGCAAAAGTGGAAGTGAAATCAGGGACATGTTAGTCCAAGCTTATGGGGATAATGCCATGAAGAAAACGGCAGTGTACAAATGGATTAAACGTTTTTCTGAGGGGAGAGAACATGTCACTGATGAAGAGAGGTCAGGGCGGCCAGTAATGAGCAGAACTGATGAAAACATTGCAAAAATTCATCAAATTATGTGTGAAAATCATTGGCTGACTATGAGAAGCATAACAGACCAAGTAAACATTGACAGAGAAACAGTTAGGAAAATCTTAACTGAAAATCTTGGCGTGAGAAAGGTGTGTGCAAAAATGGTCCTGAAGGAGCTCACCAATGAACAAAAGCAAAGGAGAATTGAAGTTTGTCAAGACCTTTTGGAGAGGCAAGATGATGTTTTGAGCCATGTTATCACTGGTGATGAAACTTGGGTATACCAATACAACGCTGAAACAAAGTGTCAAAGTGCACAGTGGAGGTCAGCCAGTTCTCCATGACCAAAAATGTTCTGTCAGTCCAAATCAAGAGTCAGAACGACGTTGCTAACCTTTTTTGATATCAGAGGGATTAGTCATTATGAATTCGTACCAACTGGACAAACAGTTAACCAAGTTTACTGTTTGGGAGTGCTGAAAAGGCTGCATGAAAAAGTTAGATGAAAACGACCTGAACTTTTCGCCAACAATTCATGGCTCTTGCATCACAACAATGCACCAGCTCACACAGCACTGTCTGTGGGAGTTTTTAGCCAGTAAACAAATAACTGTATTAGAACACCTTCCCTACTCACCTGATTTGGCTCCCAATGACTTCTTTCTTGACCTGAAGATAAAGGAAATATTGAAAGGAAGACATTTGGATGACATTCAGGACATCAAAGGTAATATGACAGCTCTGATGGTCATACCAGAAAAAGAGTTCCAAAAATGCTTTGAAGGGTGGACTAGGCTTAGCTTCCCAAGGAGATACTTCAAAGGTGAGCATAGTGATATTCACCAATGAGGTATGATCACTTTTTNTGCAAATATTTTTGTTTACCTTTCCTTCTCATAGCTGTCTCCTCCCTTCTAGATTCATTTTTCTTTCTTTCTTTCTTTGTGGCTTCTTCAGTGAGGATCTGTTAATAGTAAATGTT